CGTCCCTTTCCTGCTCAAAGTCTTTCCCTGGACCTACAATCCGAGAATAGGAGAATCCTGCTACCTGCTAACAGCAATGAGACTTTCCTCCATCCTGTTCTCAAGAACCCTTCCTCTCATCTCCCATTGCTTCCGGAACCCAGGCCTGGAACCACGTCCACTTTTCATGTTCAGGTGCACTTCCAACGCCCGTCCTTGGGGAATCCTCCAGGCAGGGTCGGGTCGTCCTCCAGGGCCCCTCCCTCTGCCCAGTCCGAACATTTAGGGGTTGGGACTTCGCTCTCGCCCCGCAGTGGCCAGGCTAAGTCTGAAGAATAAACTCAATAGGTTGGACCCAGAGCCGCGTGAGACCTGAAGGTTCCAACTGTGCTGTCTGCAATTCTGGGACCCTCGCCCTCCCCGAGGCCATCCACATCCCCTTGTCCTGGCTCCTCCTCTCAGGGCTCTCCCTGGCCCTTCCACACACCTCAATACACGCAGCGACCCCATGCTTCCACAGGACCCACGTCGCCAGCGTGGGCTCCAGAGGGACCCCCAACCTCCCCAGCGAGGATCCGTAGGTTCCCAGTCCCCTCCGCGGGGCTGCGACCCCTCGGCAGGACCCCAGGCCCCTAGAGGGCCCCCAGGGATTTTCCAGAATTCCCGAACGCTCAGGGGCCTCCAGTCCCCTAGACAGAACCTCCAACCCCCACGTAGGTCCCACAGGGAGACTGAACCCAGAGAGGGACACACGGCCCTCAGCGCGACCCAGAGTCCCTCAGAGCTCTCAATCCCCACAAAGGGATCCCAGTCCCCTCGGTGTCTCCCTGGACCCCCTCAGCGGAACCTCCTGCCCTTCAGGCAAGGCCCCCCCATGTGGCTGGCTGCCGGCTCACCATGTCGCCGGCGGGAGCGCGGTCGACCAACCTGAGGCTCCGGGCACCTCGCAGGAATACAACCAATCAGAGCCCGATTCTGTTCTGACAAACAGCCCCTAAGACCAATCGTCAGGCTTGCAGCTGGAGCAAACCACGAGGGACGCGAGGTCGCTCGCGTTGCATGCCGGAAGTTGTAGTTCGAAGACGCTCGGCAAGCTCAGATGTCGGTTGAGTCAGGACTCTCTGGTACCCTGTGTGGCTGTCCTCTCTGAGATTCAGTCTCCTAGCATCCGCACCTATTGCGCAGGTCTGAGGCAAATACATTCACTTATCCACGCACTGCCTCCCGCTGGAGAGTTCTGAGTGTGGAACTCCCCCTGATCAAGAACATTCGGTGGCTCCCACTGACTAGACTCCCAAGTGCTCAGACTGAATTCTTACACCTCTACCTGACTTCAGTCGGCCGCCAGCACTATCGTACACACTGTAATACAGCTTGCCACTGGCCGTGCTATCTCATACCTCCAGGCCCCTGTAAATGCTATCTTTCATCTTGGAATACCTCCTTTCTCAATCTTTTTCGTTTAGCAAAGCCTTATTCATCTCTATCAGCCAGGACTCTGAACACACACACACACACACACATACACTAACTCAAATGGGCTCTAGCAAAAAAAAGGGGGAATTTTTGTGACAAAAAACTCTTAAAAGCATAGTGAGCTTCAGGCATGTCTAGATCAAGGACAAAAAAAGTCAGTCTCAAGAATCTGATGTTTTGGGTTTTGAGGCTTGGAGGAAAGGGCTTCTAGCATGGGTACCTAAGTTTTGCCATCTGCATTTTTATGGATAAAGTGTGTCTGCCTGAATGTGGACATATATGTGGGTGTGATTAGATGTCTGAGGTGTTTTTTTTAATTAAAAAAAAAAAGATTTTAGGGCGCCTGGGTGGCTCAGTTGGTTAAGCGACTGCCTTCGGCTCAGGTCATGATCCTGGAGTCCCTGGATCGAGTCCCGCATTGGGCTCCCTGCTCGGCGGGGAATCTGCTTCTCCCTCTGACCCTCCCCCCTCTCATGTGCTCTCTCTCATTCTCTCTCTCTCAAATAAAAAAATAAAAACTTTAAAAAAAAATCTATTAAAAAAAAAGATTTTATTTATTTTTTTGTGAGACAGAGCAAGTGAGAGAGAGCCCGAGCTGGGGGGGAGGGGCAGAGGGAGAGGAACAAGCCGACTTCCCACTGAGCAGGGAGCCCAGTGTGGCGCTTGATCCCAGGACCCAGAGATCATGACCTGAGCCCAGACGCTTAACTGACTGAGCCACCCAGGCGCCCCAGATGTCTGAGGGTTTTTATGGGGCCTGTGAGTGGGGCCCATATAGTTGATTACCTTGTCTCTGTGGGTGTTTTTGTCTTTGTTTATGAGCACATGTGGATGTCTGTTTGCAGGGGATTCACTGTGGCTTGGTCTTCTGGACTCAGAGTGTCCCCTGGAGAGAGGATGGGTGACAGTGGTGGTGAGGGTCACTGGGATTTCCCTGGACCAACATGGGGGCCATGAGCCAATCTATGAATCCATGAGGGATCCAGGGAAGCTGGGATTTGGGGAGGGTGTCAGAGAAAGGGACCGAGAAAGAAAGGAGAGGCATTTGCTGCAGGTCCACTGCATACCAGGCTGGGGAGGTGGCGTGGTTGATTCATGTGCTCCTTCCAGTATGCTGAGGTGGCAGGACAATCGTCTCCATTTCACTGATGAAGACACTGAGGCTCTGGGAGGCCCAAATCTCTACGGCACACCTTGACCTCTCCTCCTGCACCCAGGGCTTAGGAGTTTAGGTGTCACAGCGGCGCCCATGTGGTGAACCACAGGAAATTCACACGTCCTCATCTCAGGAGGTCCTCATCTTCCCTCCCGCAACTCCTCATCCTCCAGGTTATCCACAAGCTCTGGAGTTGGCCTTGACTCCTCTCTTGCCCATACCTGATCTGTCAGCCCCTCCTGATGATGGTTCCACCTTCCAAGTGTGGCCAGTCTCACCAACCCCACAACCTCCACCCAATCAACTTCCATCATGTCTCCCCTGCAGTCCCCGGCTCCCCGATCTCTGGCTTCCACCCCTACACCTCACCTCAGCCCCCACAGTCTATTTTCCCCCAGAGCAGCTTAACACTTAGCCAGACAATGTCCCTCCTCTGTTCTAAAATGGACACTCCTCACTCTCTATTCTACGTTGGATGGGCATGTTGTCTGTTGGACCACTTTGGACGTTCCTTGTTCTCCATTCTCCACTGGGCGAATCCACATTCTCTGTCCTGCATTGGGTACTCCATGGTCCCTGATCCTCAAGACACTGCCTATGTCTGTCTGCATTAACGGCCCAACCTCTCTGACTACACTGAAGTCCACACTCTCTCTCCACATTGACCATTCCACCATCTCTGTGTGTATGATGCTCTTGAAAATGCATCTCTCATACCTCCAGGCCCCTGTATATGTATACATCATACACACAGACTTCCATGACTGCATTTGTGCCACAATTCCCATGATGCTTTCAACCAGTGACTGAGCTCCTGGGAGACTCAGGGTCCCTCTGATGGTGACAATAGCCCTGACTGACATCACCACGGTGTCCTTAGAAAGGCTGGTAGAGGACACTTTCACACAACCCTCGCTGCTCCACCCCCACACACACACCCCCACAGAGTCAGCAGGTGCAGAGCTAGAGTTTGGACCAAAGGTGTTTCCAGAAGCCAGTAGCCTGCTCACTGACCTTTCATGTCCTGGGGGACACCCCAAGCTCTACAGTGTAATTATACATATGCAGGCAACATGTGACACAGACCTTTCTGAGTCCCCAGGCTCAGACCGTGAAAACATGGGGTGAAGCCCCTGAAAGCCAAGAGGGATTTTATTTTTTTTAATTACTATTTCTATTTTATTTTTTACTTTTGAGCGGGGAGTGCAGAATCCAAAGCACACTATTGGGCGCCACCTAATGGATGACGGCGAAAGTGCAGTCTCCCAGGATGGGCATGCAGAACCATACCCACCTGCCCGTGCCCCCACCTCCCAATCTTTGAAAGCAGCCTACATTTTTAAGAACCCGACACGGGGTGCTTAACCTCTGGGCACTAACTTCAGGGACTGGCCTGGCTTCTTGTCCCCCATGAGGGTGAGATCCAGAGGCTAAGAAGGGACCCTCTCCAGCCTTGCCTCCATTTCATCCCACCAAGGCTTGGGACTGGAAGTATTTCTAGGGGGGCTCACGGCAGGGGACATGGTGGGTGACAGGGGCAGACGGAGTAGAGGGGTGGGGGCAGCTGAGGAGCTCGGAAAGGTCAGGGATCAGATCTGAGTGTTATAAACATCCCACAAGACCACCTTGGGGAGTGACTGGACAGGAGAAGCAGATGGAGCTCCCTCTGGCTCCTGGACACCCAAGTCTGCCCTCAGGATGCCCGCCAGAGTGGGGGGAGTTTGTGCCCCCCCCCAAGTGGGTAGATAAACGCCCGGCTCCCTCCTGCCTCTGGTGGATCGAAATTGCTGGGTCAAGGGATCAAGGGATATGCCCATTAAAAGATGAATGGTGTAGTGACTGCCCCATTGAACAATGTTCAAGATTCCCAGCTGCTTCTTGCTGCAAGTGATTGCAACCCAGCCTGGAAACCTCCCCTTGAGCACACGACTTGACATCCTCAGGAGGTGGTAGCCCAGCCTCTCACCCCTGAAGCGGAACCACTTTAGGTGCGTGCTCTAAGCGCTCCCCCAGGGTCCCCAGGGGCGGAGGAGGTGGGCAGCGCTGCCCACGAAGTCACCTGCTCGCTGCTGCCCCCTGCAGGGCTCTTCCCAGGCACGTCCCTACCCCTCAACTGCCTTCCTCCGGGATACCCACCTTTGAATCCTAGTCTCAGGATAGGATTCTGAAGGGGGTACTTCAAACCGAGACAAGGCAAGACAGACCTCTTGGGAAGAGATGGGAGGACCCGGACGTGGTGGTGGTTCTGAGTAGCGACAGATAGTTTCGTCCATGGACACCACGCGTGTTTTATTGGTGGATACACACACAGGAAAGGGAGAAAGGAGCACCCCCTACCGTGGATCTGAACTCCAGGCCCTCACTTTGGAGGGACGTTAACTGCTGGCTCTTCTCTAACGACGCGGGGAGGGAGACTGGGACCCCACGTGCCCTCGCCCCGCGTGGGAGGAAGGACCCATGCCACCCCTGGGTCCACTACCGAGCCCAGCCGTCGGCAGTGGGCAGACGGCGTAGGGGGGGTCCGGGCCGTAGGGGCTCTGCCAGGGGCCGGGACAGGAGCAAGGGATAGGGGAAAGTCTTGGGAAAGTCGCCGGGGCCCCCAGGGGCTGGCGAGAGGCGCTCGGACTTGATGCTGACTGGGGGGGTTGGTGGGGAGGCGCCACGGGCGGGGGGACCCTCCTCACTCAGGCTTCGGCTCCCACTGCAGGGAGAGAGAGAGAAGGAGGGTTGTGAGCTCAGCGAGGAAGGGAGGAAAGCCAGGGAGGTGGTATGGCTTGGACAAAGGCTCGGCGGGAGGACCTTGGGAAAGGAGGGGGTGGCGGTCCCTCTTGGGGTTTCCAAAATAGCCACCCATCCCACCAAGAACAGACGGGAGGGGCTGAGTGTAGAACCAGGAGTGGCCACCAGAGGTCAGCAGTGGCTAGGGGCTTCGGAAGACTTGGAGGGACCCCCACAACGACCCGAAATACGGAGGGGAGAGAGGAGGGGCAATTGGGGCACTTACCTGGGCTGGGGAGGGGCGGATGGGGGCCCATCACCCCTGGAATGCTGCCAGGGGGCCAGGGTGGGGGGCTGCAGCAGGCCAGGGGGCGGAGGTGGGTCTCCCAGGCCATAATCTGGGGGGTAGGAGGAATAAACTGAGGCCCTGACCTCAGGGAGCCCCTTGCCCAAGCTTGATCTATCCCACCAGCCAGTTTTCAGTCCTGGTGGGTGGGGAAATGCTGACCACCCCTCCACCCCTCACCCCCCACAGGCAGGTGTATGGATGTCTCCCATGGCAGGGAACATGGTGGGGTGCATACCTGGGGGGCCTGCAGGGAGGAAGGGGAAACTCCCGAGTGGGGGTCCTGGAGCTGTGGCAGAGCATGGACTCTGTAGGCTACCATAGAGGCCTCTCTGTGGGGAGACAGGGTAAAGGGGAAACTGAGGCCCACACCCAGGCCATCCTGCCCTCCCCCAACAGCCCTGCTACACCTTCCCCTCACTCACTGAGGTGCTCAGTCCCCCTCGGGCCCCCGACAGGCTAGCAGGCAGGTCTGGCCTCCGCCCATCTGCTGCCAGGTACAGGGGTGGTGGTGTCTTGCTGGCAAGGTGGCTCGGTGAGAAGAGAGGGTGTGCCAGGCCTGAGGAGCAGGAAACCCCCAGAGAGAGGGCATGTGGCCATGTAATCTAATGAAGTCTGAGGTCCAGAGGTAATACACACAAGCAGTGCCTGAGCCAAGATCCCTCTACAAGCCCCCCTTGGATTCCCACTCCCTTTTGCCCCAGGGCCTATGGCCCATGCTCACCTGGGGGCCCAGCTTTGGGTGCTGCTGGCCGGAAAGGGGATGGGCGGCTCTGGGCGGGGAGGGCCTCCCCAAGCCCACTGGGGTCGCAGCCTGGTGGGGGCAGGGCCCCATATACCATGTCCGGGCTGGGCATAGTAGGGGCTGCTGGCTGAGGGCAGAGAGGACGGGATTGGTTGGAGGAACATGGAGATGAGGACATCAAATCCAAGACAGAAAATTAGGGGCCAGCCTCCACCTCTGGAAGCCCTTGCTACTCCTCCCTCTGGCCTAACCCCACATGATGGAAGGAGCCTTTGTCTGGTGCTGTCACTCACTGACAGGCCCAGAGCTGAGGCTTCTTGCTCAGCATGGGGTTGGCACTGAGGGGGCTTCCCAGGGTGTTTGATGAATCAAAGAAATAAAGGAGGAAGAAATGGCTGTCCATTGAACTCTTATTCATCCTTCAAAACCCCAACTATAATGCCCACTCCTCCAGGAAACCTTCCCTTCCCACCTAGGCAGAGACCTGCTCCCTAACTCTAGGCTTCTTGGCCTTAGATCCTTGTCTGAGTCTCAGCCTTGACCACTTGGGCCTAGGAGGTGAGGGAGGGCCCCTTCGTGGTGGTGCAGGAAGTCACTTACATAGAGCCGGGGCCGGGGCAAGGTTGGGTCACCCCCGTCACCTGCCAACCTTCGCAGCTTCTCTCCTGGCCCATCAGGCCCTTCATCTGGCTCCAGCTCTGGTCCATCAAGGCCCACACCCCTCCGCTTCAGTGTCTGTGGGGAGGGGAGACAACAGGGTGACCCTCCCCCAATCCTAGCCAGGGAACCTGGTTCTATGGGAGAGGGAAGAGATCTACCCTGCCCAGCTCTGTGGGTGGATCGGAGTGCAGGCACAGCCTGTTCCAGCCAAATCCCATTGATCAAAAACCCTAGTGGGTTATCATCTAGCAAATTCCAAATGTGTGTGAGAGAGGGACTGTCCTGCCCTGGGACCAGAGAGGCCCAGGTCACACAGTGGGGGCCAAGATCCACTGGCCCTGCTGGCACTGTCCTAACACTCCTCCTGAATACGACCCTGCTACCTCCGTTCCGCACTGGAGTGCAGCCTCCGTGCCTGGAGTGCAGTAGGTGTTTCATAAATGTTGGAGGACAACCTTCTAGGCTTTCCTGAGCTGCTTCCCCCAGGACCTGCACACTCCTGGAGCCCTGCCTCTCCTTTGACAGCTTCTCCCCCACCCTCCTGAAACATTAGGGGTCACCACGTGCAGCCCTAGGCCTGCTGGTCTCTCCATCTCCATCTCTGGGGCTTCAGCTTCCCATCTTGGGAAAAGATTCCCATGTCCAAAGGGAAGTGATCTCGCCCAGCCTGAGTGGCGGGTGTGGGGGACGAATCAGCTAGTGCCCGGCTGCTTCTGTCTCTTTCTCCTGGGGACACAGCAGCTCAGACAAAAACACTCCGGGCCCTCAGTGAGGTCTGCTTGCTCTCTGCCCTCACCAAACAGGGGACAGGATTCAGTGAGATGAAGTGTGTGCGGGGCACACAGTGGATGTTTTTATCTCTACTGTGGGGGCAGCTGCTCCTCGGAGGGACCCCACATTGCCTCAAACCTGCTTTTACCAGCAGTAAAGCCAGGTTGCAACACTCGTCTTTTGTGCCAGGAGTCCCTAGGCTCGGAGCAGGCGCAGGGCGCTGGGAGGAGTGCCCCAGGGGTACCTCAAGGATGTCGGTGTTGGTGCGGCTCTCGTGGGGCTCGCTGTACTCCGTGTATTTCAGGAGCACGCGGTCCATGTCCGTGCTGGCATACTGGAAGAGGCGGTTGGCGCTGTTGAAGATGATGAGGGCGATCTCACAATCGCAGAGCACGCTCAGCTCATAGGCCTTCTTCATCAGCCCGAACTTCCGCTTAGTAAATGTCACCTGGAGCCGGGACGCACAGACAGGGTGGGAGAAGACATGGATTGGGGGTGGCAAGGAGGAGATGGAGGGGCCTAACTGTTCCCTGAGCATGCCTCAAGATTCTGTGCCTTGTGCATGCTGTCCTTCCTGGCTGCTCCCCTACTTCTCACCTCTCAACCCGGCCAACTCCTATTGGTGCTTCAAAACCTTGTCCAAATGTCCTCTCCTTTGGGAAGTTTTCCTGGGTCTCCAGGACAGGGCCCACATTCCTTCTCTGAGCTTCCTCGGTTCTGTGCCTCCCTCTGGACCAGCCCTCTGAGTTGGGTGGGTTTGTGTCAAACTTCATCTCTCCCGTGACTGGGGCTCCAGTCGTCAGGGAGAATAAATGAATAAATCATCATGAAGATGAGCAAATGCTACATATCAAACTCCGGACTCCCCATGCCCTTGCAGCTCCCCCAAATGGACAGGCCTTTGCCCAGGCTGGGTCTGCTGCCAAGAACACCTTTCCCCCAGCCACTGTTCCCCCCCCCAGTGAACTCACCTGCCGATTCCTTTGGTCCAGAATGCGGGAGATCTGGATTTTTTTCCTCCCCATTGTGCCAGGCTGGTTGGAGCGACCTTGGCCTTGCGGGGAAGGAAAAGAGGACAGAGTGGGTGGATGGAAAGTGAGACCGGACACCCAGCCTCCCTTCTGTCTTCCACCTGCCCCTGCCAAGCTCTGAGGGGGGGATGATGGGGGGAAATCAAGGCAGGCTGGGTCCCCCCTACAATCCCCACTCTCAGCTGGCCCCAGATGCAGTAGATGCTCAGTGAACACCTTTGGACCAATTCCACATGAAGAGAAGGCTAATCGAGGGCAAAGGATCGGGGTACAGATGCCCCATCCCTGCCTCCAAAACAAAACAAGGTGGTAATTGTGGGACCTCGGGGGAGCCTGACCTTCCTAAGCCCCTGTGTGTGTGCAGTGGGGATAACAGTGTCACGCACAGCCCGGTGTTGTTGGGAGATAAAGTGAGCTAACCCACGTGCAGCATTCAGATCCGTCCAGCACACAGAAGATGCTATAAGGCGCCTGGGTGGCTCAGTTGGTTAAGCGACTGCCTTCGGCTCAGGTCATGATCCTGGAGTCCCGGGATCGAGTCCCGCATCGGGCTCCCTGCTCGGCAGGGAGTCTGCTTCTCCCTCTGACCCTCCCCCATCTCATGTGCTCTCTCTCATTCTCTCTCTCTCAAATAAATAAATAAAATCTTTAAAAAAAAAAAAAGAAGATGCTACATATGCACTGCTGTTCTGAATACTAGCAACAGCCTAAAAGCCCTTGACGGGCCAGGTTGGATGGACATCTGATGCCGATACCTGGCGGCACTCAGGAAACATCGCTCACTGAATCACTGATCTTGAGCCACTGGAAAAAAAATTTTTAAAAGCCTGGTACGCTGCACATCGGACACCTTTAAGCCATTCAATTCAAAACAGCTCCCCAACAAGCAAGATCAAGGGCTGTGGTTATAAGAAAACATATATTTAAAAATTGCATTGAGAGTAGAAAAGACTAGAAGGAAATGAGCAAGATAGGAGTCACTGCTGGGTGGAAATTTATGGGTGAATTTTTCCCCCTTTGTAAAAAATTTAGATGCAATTTGCACCACCTAAAAATCACCATTTTAAAGCGTGCGATTCAGTGGCACTCAGTGCGTTCACACTGTTGTACAACCATTACCTCCAGCTAGCTCCAGAAAGTTTTCATCCCCCAAAAAGGAGACCCCATGTGTATTAGCAGTCACTCCCCATCCTGCCTCCCCAGACCCTGGCAACCACAGATCTGCTGTCGCTATGGACGTGTGCGTTCTAGAGGTTTCATGTAAATGGAAACGTACAATGTGTGACCTTTGGTGTCTTTTTTTTTTCCTTCCCTTTTTGATTATCTGAATTTTCTAACTTTCCCCTCTCAGTGATTATAGATTATATCCATTTAAAAAGAATTGGGGTGGGTGCCTGGGTGGCTCAGTTGGTTAGGCGACTGCCTTCGGCTCAGGTCATGATCCTGGAGTCCCTGGATCGAGTCCCGCATCGGGCTCCCTGCTCGGCGGGGAATCTGCTTCTCCCTCTGACCCTCTCCCCTCTCATGTGCTCTCTCTCATTCTCTCTCTTTCAAATAAATAAATAAAATCTTTTTTAAAAATTATAAAAAAAAAAAAAAGAATTGGGGCGCCTGGGTGGCTCAGTTGGTTAAGTGTATGCCTTTGGCTCAGGTCATGATCCTGGGGTCCTGGGATCGAGCCCTGCACCAGGCTCCCTGCTCATCAGGAAGCCTGCTTCTCTGTCTGACCCTCACCCTGCTTGTGCTCTATCTCTGTCAAATAAATAAATAAATAAAATCTTAAAAAAAAATAAAAAGAATAACGGGGGGACCTGGGGGCTCAGTCAGTTGAGCATTTGACTTTTGATTTCAGCTTGGGTTCTGATCTCAGGGTCCTGGGATTGAGCCCTGCAGGGGGTTCCAGATTCAGCGGGGAGTCTGCTTGAGGATTTTCTCTCCTTCTCCCTCTGTCCCTCCCCTCTCTCTTTCTCTCTCTCTCTCTCTCAAATGGACAAATGAATCTTTAAAAAATAAAAAGAATAACAGGTGGGAGTAGGTCAGGACACCCTGAAAAGACCTCAAACTTAGAGCTCACCACTGGGGTTTGGGCCTGAGGTCTGCTTGAGAGAAACCCTGGACCCTTCTCCTGAGGACCTTGGATCTCCCTGGAGGCGTGCTCAAGGGTGAGAATGGACTTGTGGAGGACAGCATGTCCCCAAGATATGCAGCATGTCGGGTCCAGGCCTTCCCCAGCTCTCCCCTTGCAGGGCTCCTTGGAATGAAGGAGTCACGTTGCCAACCATGTAGCATTCATCCCACTGTACAGACAGCCACCCCAAGGCATCCAAGACCCTTCCACCAAGTCTATGACCACATGACCTCCCAGCCCCTCTCATGTCACAGGTGACTGAGGCTTCAGGTGAGTGGCCTGCCCAGGGTCAGGTGGGCCTGCGGTCAGGTCCCAGACAGCCTCTGACCCACTGGGCAATCCTCAGCAAGGGAGGCCTCTCCCTAGGCCTCAGTGTGCTGTTCTGTGGAGGGGCTGGGTATGAAATGCAGAGCACCTGACACAAGGCCTGGGAATGAGCTCTTGGGAAGTGTAGGAAAATGTGGGTCCATCTCCAGGAGCAACCATACCTGCTTCCCAGACTCCAGCTCCAGGGGTTTGGGTGGGACCCCCTCACCCACTGTTCCAGAGTCCCAGGGCCCAGGAGTGTTAGACACTGTCGTATTTGGCTTGCTGTGTGACCCCAGGTGTGCCCTCCACTCTCTCTGGTCTGGGTCTCTGAGCAGTCATAACTATGCAGAGCCAGGACCCACGGGAGCCCCAGCCCTGGCCCCCCAGCTCCAGCTTGACTTGCTAAATTTAACTTTCCGGGCTAATTTTAATCCCTGGCCGGAATCGGGTGCGTTCCCACGGCTGGGACGTGTTGCCCCCGCCCTGACAGGTCCCTCGGGACAGAAGGGGGGCACTGGTCCGGAGGTCCTGGTGCCAAGGTGACTCCGGAAATGCCCCCGTGCCTGGGGTCCCATGGGAACATGGGACTCAGACATGAATTTCCAGGCCTGGAAGATCTGAATCTGGACCCTTCTCAATCTGTCCCCAGTTTAGACAAGGACATCTTGGCCAGGGCAAGGCTCACATAATGAGGGAGCCCCATGAGCCAGAAGGTGGGGGTGGTTCTCTCTGAACTGAGACCCAAGAGCCAAGACAGGAAGCGAGTTCCAGGTAGAAGGAGGAGCAGGTCCAAAGGCCCTGAAGAAGGACAAGACACAGTAATGAGGCTGGAGCAAGGAGTCCAGGGGTAGAGGCCAAAGAGACAAGGCCATTGAGCGATCTACCCAACATACAGCTCTGATCATACCCCATTCTTGCTCACACCCTCTTCATGGCTCCCCTCTGCCCTCAGGAGAAATTTCTAGTCCCCAGCCTGGCATTTGAGGTCCTGCCCCAATCAGCCCCTGCCAATCTTAATCTACCTTCAACAAAATGACTCTGCCTGGAAAGCCCTTTTTTTGGCCAACTCCTATTCACACTTCAAAACCCAGCTCAAAAAATTAATTCCTCTAGGAAGCCCTCCCTGCCCTCACTCTGGACTCCTACAGCTCCCGAATTTCCCCTCCAGTTTTGACCCCATGGGGCCAGGGGTGTGTATATACAGCTCTGTCTCCCTCAGACTGGAAGCCCCTCAGGACCAGATTTAGTGAATGGAGCAGGTCAAGAGAGACTCTGAACTGCCCCCAGCTTCCCTCAACAACTTCCTCTCAGACTCCCCCAGCTGACTCCCTACCCAGAAATACATGGGCATGCAAATCCAGTCACTCAGCGTTGACCTGTCTCAAGCCCAGGTGTGAAGGGCCAGCCAAGGAATGCGGAGGCGGAAGGCCCAGAGTGTGCATATATATTTGTACTCACATGCAAATCCCCACTGAGCCGCAGACAGACCCGGTGGCCTGTTCTCCAGATGTTGGCGTGATCGGAACTGCTGGGGGGAGGTGGCAGCACATGCTGAATGTGCCAGGCACGAGGGGGGAGGCCTCTTCTGTGCACACATCCCCCCTCCACCCCCACGCTATCCAGCCAGAAAGCAGAGAGTTTGTGGCGTCTGTCCAGCAGAGAAGCAAAGAAATGGGCCCATTGACCTGAGAATGGAGCAGGGAAGAAGGGCCAGGAGAAATCCAAGAGGGCATCTCAGAGGAGGAAGCATGTAGTTGGGCCTTGATGGACAGGTTGGATTGGGGGTCTGAACAGATGGGAAGGGGGTGGGCATTTGAAGCTGAGAGTCCAGTACCTCCCTACCCTTTTCTTCATACCCTCATACTTAGCATATACTAAATATCCACCAAGTGCCAACTCCTTCAATAAGCTGATCACAAAGGAAGTAGAAAGTTTAAGTAGACCAATGACCATAGAAGATTAGAAAAGTGACTCAAGACCTACCATTAAAAGGACAGCAGGCCCACATGGTTTTACGGCTTTTATCAAACCTCAAAGGAGAGGGAAATGCAATGTTACTGAAACTAACCCAGACCTTTGCAAGCAATGAGAATTGCCCAAGTCATTTTTACAAAAACTCCTATATGTCAGAACCCGACTAAGTCCAGAGAGAGAGATGTATTTTTTTTTTAAAGATTTTATTTATTTATTTGGCAGAGAGAGACAAAGCGAGAGAAGGAACACAAGCAGGGGGAATGGGAGAGGGAGAAGCAGGCTTCCCGCTGAGCAGGGAGCCCGATGCGGGGCTCAATCCCAGGACCCTGAGATCATGATCTGAGCCGAAGGCAGACGCTTAACGACTGAGCCACCCAGGCGCCCCAGAGAGAGAGATGTATTGACCATGAAAGGGTCAATGTGAACCAGAGATTTCAGGGAAGATCTCCTGAAGAGGTGAGATTGGAGCTGAGACCTGGAACACATGAAAGAGACAGCCAAGCAAGGGAAGAGCCAGTCATGGAAGATTTTGTGGGGGTGAGGGGTATTCCTGGCAGGGGGATCTCCAAGGGCAAAGATCTGGAGCGATCAGAAGTTTGGTATTTTATTTTTATTTTTTAAGATTTTATTAATTTATTTGTCAGAGAGAGAGAGAGCACAAGCAGGGGGAGCGGCAGGCAGAGGGAGAAGCAGGCTCCCCGCTGAGCAGGGAGCCCAATGCAGGACTCGATCCCAGGATCCTGGGATCATGACCTGAGCCGAAGGCAGAAGCTTAACCGACTGAGCCACCCAGGCATCCCAGGAGTTTGGTACTTTAAAGAAATCACAGAAGACTGTACGGGCAGACAGTATGACAGTGGGAAGAGGGGAGAGGGATGAAGGATGGTGGTAGGGAAGATTGTGAGGGTCGGATCACATAAGGCCACAGTGAAGACTGTGGGCTTTACTCTGAGGTCAACGAGGAGCCATGGAGAGTTTGGGGTTGGGGGGGTCGGGATATAATTTTACAGTTTGAAAAATCCCCTTGTACTCTCTTACATGGCTGGTGGGAGGGGAAAGAGGCAGAGCCACTCGGGAAAACCAACTGGTGTCTCCTAAAGGTGAATCCATCTTCCCTATGACCCAGGGATCTCTCTCCTCAGTATTCACCCAAGAGAAATGGGTCCATATTTTACCAAAGGACACAGACAAGAGTGTTTTCAGTAGCTTCATTCATCCTTGCCCCAAGCTGGAACCCACCCAGACGCCCTCCGTGGGAGAATTGGCTAATACTCTCTACTAGACTCTATGATAGGACTACTACCTAGCACAGTAAAAGGATGCACTCCAGCTCCATGCAACCACACAGGTGCTGGACTCAACAGCGGGGACGCGCTGTGTAATCCCATTTATGTGAAGTTCCAGAAGAGGCGAAATTCCCTTTTACAGTGATGAGGGTCAGCACAGTGGCCACCCCGGGCAGGCACTGTGACAGGGCAGCAGGACTTGCAGGGGCTGCTCCCCAGCCCAGAGTCCAAGGACTCAGACATGTTTTATTTGTGCAAATGTGTTAGCCCTACTCCGATGATTTGTGCCTTTTTCTATGATTTATCTCAGTCAAAAGATTTTTTTTAAAAAGCTTCCTCTGCTCAGGGTTGCCGTGGGGAGTAGCATCTAAGAAGGAGGCAGGTGACAGGGAGAGGCTGGGGCAGGTGTCCAGGTGAGAGATGTGAGGCCTGAACTGGGACGGGGCGGGGGGTAGAAGCGGAAGAATCGCTTGGCAATGAAAGAGCCTGGATCCACTGGTGGCATATGTGAGGGGTGGGAGAAGAGCCTAGATCCCAGGCCTGAGCACTGTGCAAGGAAAGAACTGAGGACAAAGGAAGGTTTCCTGAGTGCCCGGAGCACCATAAACTCTCAATGGCTGTACCTGTGCTCACTAAGTCAATCAACAAACACCTCTGGGGTCCTTCAGGCCGTAGACTGTCACCTCTTTGACCTGGTGAGGTCTTTTAGCACCTTGGTGATGGAGATACTACAGGAACTGGGAAGAATGTCACCCTCCCACTGACCCTTCACCATTGCTTTCTCCCTGTCTGAGGACTCAGTTTTCTCACCTGTAAATAGGGGTAAGAATCCTTCTTCCCCACCAGCTGGGAAGGACGGGGTGGTGGATGGCTCTGCTGACCTTGTCTTCTTGCCTTCCAGAAGCCAGAAGGAAGAAGGACCGGGCCTTGGGACTGGGGGCGCTGAGTCAGCATGCCATCTTGCAAGACCACAGCGACACACACAGCGACACGCTGGGTGATATCAAGCCCCCACTTCCTCCCCCATAAAATGGGTCACAGGATTCTGACCTCAAAGGCCTTGCAGTGAGAGTTTGAGAGAAAAGACCAGGAGCCAGTCAAGTTCCCCTTCTTGGCTCCCAGTGGGGCTTAAATGGGGGGACAAGTGGCACAGTCACGCTGCCGGACCCCGGAGCCCAGAGGCCACAGCTTGGCGGGGCACCCGGACAGGGAAAGGAGGGGAGGAAAGGAGAAGTGAGAGGCAGGTGGGTGGTGGTGGGGAGGGGGAGGGGAGGGCCCACGGGGACGCGGCGAAGCGGGGAGGGGGCGCTGCTCCTGGGCGGCTGCAGCGAATCAAGCCTGCAACCTCGCCTCACGCAACCCAGGAGGTGGTTTCATCACCTGTTCCCCAAGTACCTCATTACAGGCGACAGGAAGAGCCCCTTGGAAAGCTGGGACCCTCCCCTTCCTCTCTCTTGAGGGCTCAAGCTATTCCGACCCCAGCTGCCAGCGACCCTCCCCCCCAGCAGGGGCCCTGGGCCTGCCTCCTACCCTGGGGGCCAGGGGAGATGGTGCCCCAAGTGGGGGGCCTCTGTGGGTGACCTAGGGGCTGGCTCAGCCCACAGTAGGCCCCAAGGGCAGGTGGGCTCTGGCAGTGACTCTGTGTGGCCAAACTTGTGTGGGCCTCAGTTTCCTCCTCCAGGAAATGGGGAGAGTCAGGGCTGCCTTGCTGAGCTGGGGTTGGGGGGTGCTGGGGCTTCACAGTAGGTGTTCTGTACTCCTCCTTCCCCTGTGCATCAAGCTTTCATGGTCACATGGTCACCTCTACTCAGCCCTGGGAGGTGCCCAGATCAGGCAAGGGCCCTAGGCAGACTAGGCAGGGGGTTTAAGGAATAGGGGGACGAGAAGAAAGCCCATTCCTCAAATGGAAAGATGAGGGTAGGGAGATGCCCCACACAAGGAGTCCCCCAAACAATGCAGAGCCCCTCAAAATGCACAGATGCTTAAAACAAACATAGATCTCCCGGACACATGGATCACCCTCAAACACATGTGGATCCCTCCATACAAAAGTCCCCAAAAGACATGCGGTCCAAAATACACACAGATCCCCCAAACCCATGCAGCTTTCCAAACACACATATCCCCAAAACACACTCAGAGCACCCTGCACATGTAGACCCCCAAATACACACAGACCTCTCCAGACACACGCTGAGCCCCTGACACATTCCAATTCCCCAAATGCACCAGACTCCCAAATACACGCAGACACTCCCAAACATACCATGCCCCCCAAACACATGCATGTCCGTTGCCCGTAGACCCTCAGACACAGGTAGGGCCCCCAGACCTGCAGTGGTAATAATGCCCAACCCTCTGGCTTCTGGAGCCAGAGTGGTCAGCAGCTCCAGGGGAGGGTCGGGGGTTGGGGAGTCTATGGGAAGTGAACACCTGGGGTGGGTCACATATCTGGGCACTTCATGGGGCTCACAGGCTACACCGGAGCAGGTGGCAGGGGATTGTAGGGATCTTTTCTCTTTTTTTAAAGATTTTATTTATTTATTTGAGAGAGAGAGAATGAGAGAGAGCGAGTACATGAGAGGGGAGAGGGTCAGAGGGAGAAGCAGACTCCCCGCCGAGCGGGGAGCCCAATGCGGGACTCGATCCAGGGACTCCAGGATCATGACCTGAGCCGAAGGCAGTCACTTAACCAACTGAGCCACCCAGGCGCCTGGATTGTAGGGATCTTTGTGGTGATCCTGGGAACTGTAGGGGTCTGAGGGATGAGGTGTGTCACCCATATACAGCTCTGAATCCCCAGAAACTGAGAATGTTCCAGTTGGAGAAGACCCCTTAGGGATCCCTTGTCCATGAGTCCCTCTGATACCCATGGGGAAACTGAGGCCCAGTGGGGTCCCTCAGACCTCCCCTCCCCAGGTTTGCTCCTAGGAGGGCCCACTGTGGCCATGTACTGAGAGGCCAGGGCTGTGGCTGTGGGCCTGGCCAGACCAGGGTTCAATTCCTGGCTCCAACGCACATTCATTGCCTGACATGCTCTGAGCCTTAGTTTCCCCATTTGTACTGCGAGTCCCTGGGAGTTCCCCAGGCGCCCCCCTACCTGTCCCGCCTCTTTAGAAAGGCCTTATCTACCAGCAAATTCTAGTACACCTTCTGCCCCTTTTCGGGCATCTGACACAGTAGTCCCACACAGACCTGCCACATTCCCACCACTGGGCCTTTGCCCAGGCTGGCCTTTCCCCTGGTCCACCACCCTTGCCAGGCTTGCCCAGGTCTGAGGAGCTGCTCCATGTCCTTCGAGGCCAAGCAGAAATCCCTTTTTCTGGAGGCGCCAATTTTCCCAGGGGAGAGTCATCTCTCCCTGAGGCACTTAGCCCCACTGGAAACTTTCTGCGTTTCTTTGCTACTTTCTTTGACAATCATGCTGTCCCACTACAACGTCCACTCGGTGAGGGCAGGGGTGGAAGCTCCCCAGTGCCCGGCACACAGTAGGCCCCCAATCACCCTTCCTTGAGTGAATGAGCAAACTGCTTAATCAATGGAAGAAACATGGACAACTGGTTCAGTTTTCTTTTAAAGGCCTGTGGCCCACAAAACAAATTTGAGCCCTGCCCCCTTCCAGTTGGAGACCCCTGCTCTGAACAGCCACCAGCACAACAGCCAAGTGGATGGTGCTCATGCTCCTTTCCGGCCCAGGGACTGACCCTCCGTAGGTCCCACTGTCCATCCAGGAAGGAAATCATGTCCCTCATCTGCCAAGAAAGCCAGTTTCTCTGACACAGCTACTGCAAACAGAAGCCCACTACCCCATGCCACCTCCCTGAAGGGTTTGGGACCCTGACCCCTGGAGCTGGGAGAGACTCTACATTCAG